GTCACAATTTATACTGTGTCACGGCTAGAGGCGAGACAGGATAACTGCAGAAACGTACCCTGATATTTTCTTTTCCTTTACGTGGTGACTCATTTTCGGTTCAGAAGCAAACATTTCATATTGCATTTCTCAGAATTGCTGTGTAGATTTTGCTTTAAAGTATTAATCTTGTGCCAAGACAGAACAAGTTCATTTTTCTAGCATTGTTGAGAGAAAATATCAGAGCACGCTCTCATTCTTTTTGCATTAAATGAGCAGTTCATTAATGGGGATGTTTGCTTCATTTAAAAGTGCTTCAGCTTTCTATTCCTCATTACCAGTTCTAGGTGGGCAACTGACAAAACTCTCTGGTGTAGTCTGTGCCTAACCAGGAATGCCAGTACTGTTTACTGTGCTCTCTGAGCTCATGCCACTGCCTTTTATTGGTTTAATAAATAAGTTTTTACAGTATGTGTCCTAAATAAATGTGACTAAAACACCTTCTGGCAAGTGTGTGCAGCTTAAGAGAAACGTCCAAAATAAAACTTAATTTATTGATAGGAATGTTACATGACAGTTCCATGCTACGGTTTCTAAAGGCGAATAACTAAATGATTTATCTAGGTAAAGATCTTTTGAGACTTCTTTGCAGTTTGTGCTCCTCTTTTTTACAGCACTTCAGTTAGTGTCGGTGTCAGTTTCCTAAACACCCCATCAGCTTCAGCTCTTAAAACTTTAGCTCTTTATCAGCTGGTGTTCAGTCTATTTTCTTAGGTTCTAACATGATACAGCATGAGAGGAAATGAATCCATTGCTTAGAGGCAGTTTCAGAGACAAATCCACCAACATTATGGTACTAAGGGATGTGTAGGAAATGAGCCATGTCCTCTAGACATTTATATTTGTCCAGATTTCGAGTTCAAGCAAGCCTGAACAATATTGAATATCCATACTCAAAGACAAAGTTTCCCTTTGCCAGTAAAACTTTATCTTAACTTTGAACCTTTAAAGGCTTCTAGCTGCTTTTCAAGTCAAAGAAGTTAAGGTTTTTTTCCTTCCTTGAAAAACATTACATCCTTTTCATCGAGAGAGCAATTTGCTGAAGTGCTTTAGGATGTAAGGATGTAGGCAAAGAATGATGGATTCAATATACACTGTACATTAAAAATGAGTTTTAGTAAATTAGGTGAGACCATATTCTCAAATACAGCTTATAAACATTTTCTGGCATTTAACAACATGGTTATTAATGCAAAATTGAGGCACATTCAGTCCTCGTTTAACCTAAGCAAAGTAAAAATAGAACAAAAACATAACATTTTCATCCTTGCACAGGGAGACAGACTGTAGCACAAATGCAGCTTTTCTAACTGATTAATGTTATATGTCCTGTCTGTCACAACAATGACCAATTAACATTTTTTTAAGGTTATGCAAATATAATCTTTTTGTCCTTATAAACAGCAGTTCACTGTCTATTTCTGGAACATGTATTACAAGATAATATCTGTAATTTGTAAGTCAAAGACAGACAGGCTGGCCTTTTTGTAAATCTGCTTAATGGGACCTTAAAAAGTTTCTACAGTGAATGAGGCCATCATATCTCATTCTGTTAGGCAGGCCAGGGAGGGCAAGCCTGGTGCTTGCTACGTCTGCTGGAAGCTAAGTCAGATAGCTCCTGAGATTGGTCCTGACATTGACTGAATTGTGCATGATTGGTGTAATCAGATCAGCTTCCCTCTCAGCTTCTTTGGAGGCAGTTACCCATTCATCAAAGTTTTTTCCTCTATGTGTATTCCTGTAGGAGCATGGGCCCCAGGCTCGTTGTATGACAGATTGAGTTTGTGAGCTAACCAGGGGATTTCTTAGAAGCATGGCAGATGAAGAAATGACTCAGTATGTAGCCAGTGTCCCTGGAAATGAGCTTCTGCCACTGCTGCAGTTTCTGTCTAGTGTTTTTGTTTTTTTGCAAGACGAAGACTGTCAGGCAAGTCACTTCCTTTTGAAGAATGACTGAAAAATAATTCTGAAGCACTGTGTGCCCCATGAAGAAAGCTGCATGGGTTTAAGAGGAGGGATTGTTTAAATAAAGTGATGCTGGGCTCTAAAAAGTACATGTGAAGAAGAAGAAGGTCCCTTTTGTTGAAAGCCAAAGAAGGTGGCTATAGATCTTGTAGATTTTTAGGGATTTGTGAGGGATTCGTTTATGGAGCTTCAGAAGCTGTTGGTAATTGATCTCCTTTTGCAGGTCGCGTGGAGCTTGTGTCAGCGTATGAGGCCCCATTTATCTTCCCTCTTCTTGTGTTCCCCCATCTGTGCAAGAGGAGGAACTGTTCACGGGACAGGGATTAAAAGCTTGGTCATGTTTACTGTCAATGTCTATTATGTGAGCATATGGTTTCCATCAATGCTTACAAGTCCACTCACTGTTATATTTTATCTCCGTCTGTTACCATTTTTTCTGTCCTGTTTATAAATCGTAACATTATTCCCAGGGCTGAGAGATAAATCAAGATTAGGAGCCACTGTGGAGCCTGCAGAGCAAATGGGTTTTCTCTATCTCTTTCTCACTCACTTCTCTCTCCCTGCCACACTTTGCCTTGTGAGGTGTTCTATTAATTACATGCACAGCAAGTAGGAAAGTATGAAAATGATGCATCTGGAATAGGCTGATGATTACAGAAAATGGTCAGGTTCTTAAAGGGGCTTTAGCTGTTTCTGCAGATTTCTTGCAGGGCACAGTCCAGATTTTGAAAGGTGGGAGGTGAACTGTCAGTGGATTGAAAGGGTTTTGAATAGGAGATGGATAAGTGCCAGCATCAAACATGCACGTCACTGTCTTGAATTTAATGATTCTAAAGAAGAAAGGCACATTCATCAGCTGCGTTTTTCAAGGGGAAAACAAATGAAAAACTGCAGTTTAGGGTATCAACATTTTGGTTTTTTAATTAAAGTAGTAAGTGCCTGAAAATAAACGTATTTCCTTGTAGAAAAAAAACAATTAGGAAAAGAATCAACTATGAGGATCGTCATTCTCTTCATTACATGCTTAGATTTTATTTTGCTTTTGTGTCCAATTAAATAACGCAATCAGTATAAGGATTGCACATGTGGCTGTTAAACGGTTAATTCCTGTTCACGCCACAGTGTTCAATGGGTGTGAATTATTGCTTGTAGCTATCATTTAGCCATCTCTCAGGATGAAGACATCAGAATGGCCAGATTCTACCTTTTCTTTCAGAGTATTAGTTGAAACAATTGTGCTAGTGTATGTGTGTGTCCATGTTCAGAAAAATGGAAAATTCTGCATCAATCAAGATCACTATCAAACTGTTTGAGTTTATTGCATTACCTTTAGAACTCTCATGAATTGGCATATTGTGCACAGTCAGATTGAATTCCCACTCTGATTAAATTATGAAAAACAGGCATAAAGTTATTAAGATGAATGCTAAACCCATTTGGCTGGTTAGGAGTCAATGGGGAGTTCCAGCAGCAAAATGCTGACAGTAGAAATTCCTGGGTGGGAATGTGTTCTTTGCTTGATCCATGCTGTTAGCATTGCTTCTCTTGCTCTGTGGGTTTCATAAGAAAGACTTTAAATGTTGCATTAAATCTACCTCTTCTGGCTGTATGTTTTTTTTAAGCATTGACAGTTAGACTTTTCAAACAGATGAATGCAAATAAAAATGTGAAAATAAAATAATGTAATTTAGCAAGTGTGAAATTCTGACCCTCACAGTGAACAGTGATTCAAAGTAAATTCCCTGATAAGTGTCTTATATTAGGGTTTGACCCATTCACAGTGTAGATCAGGGGTGTCAAACACACTGCCCACGAGCCAGATATTTGTTTGTCAATTGCGGTCAGAGCAATCGACCCGGATTGGGTTTGTCAGTTTGAACAATAGTTTGCACCTTGTCTGAGCCCGAATAGCCCAAATACAAACCAGGCGCCCTTGATCAATCTCGTACTCACAGCATTAACTGTGCTTTTCTCCCTATATCCAATCTCAGAGCCCTGTTTAGTGATGTGGTCTAGTTTGACAGGAGCGTGGTTTTGTGGAAAAAAGGAGACCATGAGACCTGTACACACACTTCCTCTGAACTCCTCCAAATTCTGGAGCATCCTGATCGACAGAATCACCAAAGTCATCCATCCAATTTCGAACCCCTTTATCCAAAATAGGGTCCCGGGGGATCCAGAGTTTATCCCATCGAATAACAACTGCAAGGCAGGATACACCCTGGATAGAATGCCAGTCCATCGTGGGGCATTGATATTTTCAGTGTTTATTTTGTGTTTTTATTTTTGAGGTCACATGGCATCCCTTTAACCTTGCCTTAAGCCATTGCAGTTTCCTGGTTAAAAACCCTGACACAGTTCTATTGCTCCACTAATTCTGAAACAAGGCAAGCTGCTTTTCACTTCATATCTTCTGCTGAGTGTTAGTTTGTCAGTCCCTTGGGTAGAGTATACAGGTGATGCTCATAAGTAATCCCAGAGCCCAGACAGCTTGCATTTCAATCCTGCAGTTTGTATCAGTTGACATGACTATTCGTCCCGCCCTCGATTGGCAAAGGAGCATTTATTTAAGATGCAATGACTGCTAATTACACTTTAAAGGGAGGTTTTTTATTGTAAAATAAACACCAAAAATGCAAAACATTACAAATAGCACTATGCATGGTTGTTCCTAATATTGTGATCATTTATGGTTTGTACTGTGCAGCCCTCTTGAAAGTAAATTTAAATCAAACTGACCTGCTTTTGCAAATGACTTTGACACCCATGGTGTAGATGCCTGCAGGCCCAGCAGTCAGCTTTGTCCGGACAGAGTGGTTCCTGTTGTGGAAACCGGAAGTTTAACAAGACGTCCTAATGAAGGACGGGCAGATACAGTATTCTCCAGTGCACCCAGCAGACTTTGACTTTTTAAAAAAGTAGGAAACAGTACAAATAACCGTAAAAATACAATAGTAAAAAAACTGTTTTTAATGAACTCTTTATGATTCTTCCAGGAAATTTTATTACATCACCCTGCTGAGAGACCCAGTGTCAAGGTACCTGAGCGAGTGGAGACATGTGCAGCGAGGTGCCACCTGGAAGACGTCCCTGCATATGTGTGACGGACGCACCCCCACGCCTGAGGAGCTGCCCTCGTGCTACGAAGGAACAGACTGGTCTGGCTGCACCCTGCAGCAGTTCATGGACTGCCCTTACAACCTGGCCAACAACCGCCAAGTGCGGATGCTGGCGGACCTCAGCCTGGTGGGCTGCTACAACATGTCCTTCATCCCCGAGAAGAAGCGCGCTCAGATCCTCCTGGAGAGTGCCAAGAAGAATCTCAGAGACATGGCCTTCTTCGGGCTGACAGAGTTCCAGCGCAAAACCCAGTACCTCTTTGAGAGGACCTTTAACCTCAAGTTCATCCGGCCCTTCATGCAGTACAACAGCACGCGGGCCGCTGGCGTGGACGTGGACAACGACACCATCCTGCGCATCGAGGAGCTCAATGACCTGGACATGCAGCTCTACGACTATGCCAAGGACCTCTTCCAGCAACGCTACCAGTATAAGCGGCAGCTGGACCGCAGGGAACAGAGGATAAAGAACCATGAGGAATATCGACAGCACCGGTCCAATGAGGAGCCCCCCAGGGAGGAACCCGAAGAGCCAGCTCGCCTTCCTACTGAGGACTACATGAACCACATCATTAACAAGTGGTAGCCCACACAGCACAGAGAGGGAAGGAAAGGAAGGGAAGTGATTTATTTTTATTTCCACAGTCATTCACAAAGTCCTTAAAGACTGCAACAAGCTTTTGAAACCCGGCAGTGGTGGCTGACATTCCCACCATTCACTCGGAGGCGGTTGAAACTGCATTGTCCTGCTGTGTCTTTAGGGACATGTGGTGACAGTGATGGCCTTCTCCCGTCCCTTGCGGCCGGGCCTTCTGAACCTCGGAGTCTGAGTTCTCGAAACCAGGGGGATTCTAGGCCAAGTCAGGACAGAGCTTTTACAGCAGTGGGCCCAAACAAAAGAGACCTTACAAGTCTTCCAGGTTCTGAAACACCTTTGGAAGTCAAACAACAATTTATTTAAGAAAGTACAGCCTTTTCTGTAAAACAGAGGTATTTGCTTAAAAATTAACAGCATTGAGAACAGAAGACACATTCTAATGTTGGTTCATGAAATTTTAACTGGACTATATAATTTTAGTGTTTCAAAAAGAAAGGTTTTAATGATGAAAAGACCAAGAAAGCTGCCTACAGGCTTTTTGAATGCAGTTGAATAGATTCTTAGGTCATTTGATCTGAGATTTTAAATATTTGTTTTATTGTTTTGTGTTAATTTCCTTTGTTTTGAAACTGTTCTAAGCAACCTATGAGTGAAGAAGTCATAAACTCTATTGACTATAACTGTTTGCATTCTCTGCGTACTTGGGTCAACCTGTTAAAACTTCTCTGCTTGTACTAACAGATCATGTGACTTTTGGAGGTATATGATGTCATGGACACCTCTTTTTTCTGTGTTTTATAAATTCTGTTTGAAGCTGTAAAATGTGGTCTGCCCCACTGCTTGTAAGCGGTTGTCACTAGGTTCAGTTTTTTAACATTAGGTAGCAGGACTTCAGTGATGTGAACCATGGGTTGAAGCCCATAGCAACAATGCACTGGAGCCTTCTAGATATCTTTCAGGTCCCTTAACATGAAGTTGATTTGAAGGAATGTAAGAGCCTCTTCAGATGGCTTAACATCAGAGGTTCTGTAGGGCAGAAATAATTTTAAACCTCCAAGCTTTTGTTTTTATTTTATTTCTTTGAAAAATCAAGGATTAAATTGAATTGCTGGATTGTTCTTTTACTGGGATACACTGGTATTGTAGGGGATGATATCCCTCTGTCTTGTGAACACATAGCAATCATCCACAGTTCAAAAGAGACACTAAGATTTCTGCATTTGTTAAATGATTATTGGGGGGGGGACTACATATTGCATTTGAGTGCACTGGGGAGAATCTGGAATGGTTTAATGAAACTTGCTTCACCATTTCCTTGTCTCTACTTTTAACTAGCAAAAGGTATTTGAGGTACCCTTCTTCTGGTTCACAAATACTCTCCTGTAAATTGTGTACAATGTGTTCCAAATCCATTGGTCCAGGGCCAGACCGAATGTGTTTATAAAAGATTACAAAAGTAGAGGGAGAGACTGTGTCAAGTATCACCAGAACCTACTCTGCTTCACACCTGATAACACTGACAAAGACATATTTTTCTTTTCTGGTATTTAGCAGGTTTCCTTTACAGTTTTGCTAATTTTATGATTACTCATCTGAACTCATGGATGAGTACATTGTGCAGCAGTGATTTACCTGTTGAAACAAGTGTGAATCTCCATGCAAGCTGGTTTTAGATGGAAACCTGGATGGTGCCACGAATGGAGTACAGTATGTCTTACAGAAAATAGTAAGAATCCCAGTGCAATATCATAATCATGCGATTTTAGAGAACTTGTGAGATCCAGTGTTGTCCTTGGATGATTTTTCCCCATTTTTTGGGTCAGCACTGATCACAATAATGTCTGTATGGAAACATTACAGACATTCTTGGACCTTCAAATGAACTGACGTTTCATTACCAACAGCAGTAGGTGAAAGAGCAGGGGCACTAAGAGAGCACCTTTGGGGTTGTCTGTGATCATATTGTCAAAGAAATGCATTCTTAATGGTGGGACCATATTTCCTAAAGGTTCCAAATATGTTCTGAGAAAAACTGCAAATTCAAGTACTGTACGTAACATTCAAGCTAAAGCTTTGTTCAAGGCCTTTTTGGAAACATGATCAAAGTCTTAAAAAGGCAACCATTTAGCAGAGTATTTTATATTGTTTAAAAAATTAAAAACAAACATTGTATCCTGCTTTTAATTTAATATACAGAATGCTTTAACTGGAGAATGACTTAGCAGTTTTTGACTGACAAGCAATCACTGTTGTTCAAGCCAGTGCAATATAGAAGTCAATATACTCTTGTTCATATTTTACTGTTAAACCAATGTTTCATTTATAGGCCAGTACCCCACTCAGGATTCAAGAAAGAAGGTGCTTGGTTCTCCTTTTGTCTGTCTGACCCAGCTTTAACTGTAACAGGAACAAAATGTAGTTTAACTGTGAAGGTTCTCTATGGGTTTCATCACAAAAATGTGGACCAATGTTTATTGCAGTTGTCTGTTGGATGAGCATTGAAAAGAAGGGTGTAGGGTTTTTTTGGTGTATTTCAATTAGAGGCCCCTTCATCTGAGATGATAATCAAGCAAAGTGGCCTAACAGCTCATTGACCTATTAAAGAGATTAATGAGAATGGTGTGTGATGGAGAAGAAGAGGCATTAACTTGTTGCTGAGGCCCTGTGTGAAATAAGAACTCTTCTGAAGTGTGCTCTTAATTGTGTCCTGCTCTTACTGTATATTGCTCTGAGTATTTTTGTTATCCATGCCGAAACAGATCATCAAACCACCAATAAAGAGATTTCATTTTTTAAAGAACTTGTCTTTTTGCATTTCTGATTGCCGTTGAAAGAATTCTATATAGCAAAGAGTATCAAGAAGCTTAATTTTCGTGTTTTTTTGTATGCACTACCTCTTGAGAGCTGCTCGTGCAGGAAGTGGACAATATGAGATTATTTCGCCATATGGTTTTGAACAAGGAATAATGTATAGGTGGAGAATGACACTTGAGGATCATGTACTAGAGAGATCAACACTGGAATAATTCCACTTTAACATGTAAGATATTGGATTGAACATTCAGATAAAACCCAATCAGGATTAGGGAAGAAAAGTACATTGAAAAGGTAAAAACCATGAACTGTATTATCTAACAGTGCTTAAAGAGAACTTCTGGATTATTTTTCAGGAGAAGTCTTTCACTGCTGTCTGGAGTTATTCAATTAATTGCATTCTTCATTGGACCGGTGCTGGAGAGCAGTCACATCCAGGATAATTAAAGGCACAGGAGGTAAAAAATGAAGCCTCCTCCTTGGCTTTATAAAGCAGTTAAGATGAGGGCACAATTCACTCTAAAAATGAATATGTAATGATAAACAATTGCCATAGATCATGAATATGAATAAACCACGTTCATTGCACCACAGAGGAGAAAGAGGTGACACTGACGTTGTGTGTAAGTGATAATGAAGCCTGGCAAGCAAAAACATGCAAAGTAAAAAGCTGTCTGCTCTGGTGACCAGGATCTTAAATAAAACACTGTATTAAATCCTTGGTGTTTTCTTCACTGCTTCAAGCAAATACTGTGGATCTCTTGCACATCTTGAAAGCTATTGGGCATGGACCAAAATATCAACTACTGAATGTTTAAGGTGTCGTCTTTATCTACATAAAACTAGGATTATGAATAATTATATCTATTAAAAATTGTTACCGAATGTTTTACTAATTTACTGTAGTGCACTGACCATAGAACTACAATTAACCCTTATTAAAATGTCTTACTGGTGAATGATGGAAATTACCATGACAATTTCTGGTCTCTGTGCAATCTCTTACACATGACAGAATTGATTTAATACTTAAGAGAGTTGAAATGGTGTTGGGTTCTGACAGGTTATAAATATGAAACCTTATTAATGTGAACCAAAGCTTTTTTTTTTAGTTACTGGACACACTACACTATTTTAAATTAATTTTTATGTAGCAGGGCTAGAGGCATCTTATCACCAACGTATACGCTGTACAAGGCTCAGAATGAATTTTCAGCTCGTAATGCTACTACTCTCAAATGAGGATCTCATCCACACCTTTCTTAATGAAACAAAATTTAAATTGGCATTTGCCAATTCTTTTTTTATGTCGTTAGCTTCGCAATAGTGCAGGTGCTATTGATGTAGCCTGGCTTGACAGATTTCTGGAGGTGGAAGAATTGCAGGCAATGGGTTAATCATTTTTGGCTTTGCACTACAGGGCACTACAATACTTTTTCCTTTTCTACTCCTATCTTACTGGTTGATCTACAATATCTAGAACCTTGACCCCATAAAACAGACCTGCTCTTCTTTTGCCAATGCCTTCAGACAATACCCAGCCATGCCACATTTGATCTACAGTTCAATTCAATCCAGGAGCACACAGTTCTGCCTCCACACCAATGTCAGAAGGTTTTCCTGTCCTGTCCTATATTGACGCTGCTTTATAAATAATGAGCATGCCCTTGATGAGGCAAGGCCTGGTGTTAATAACGATTGGATCCAGCCATTTGCTAGATCATAAACAGCAAGCACCCTGTGACTTTGAGATGGCTGTCATTGATTTACTGTAGCAGAAGCTAAGGCATTACCTTCTGATTCTGAGTGCTAGTTCAATCTAGGCAGCTGCTCTGGGCCTTATTTTTCAAAGTGCAGTGCAGTAAAAAAAAACAATAAAAATGTAGCTATCAAGGATAGAGGGATTTTTTTAGAACACATGAAACTCCTTGATGTGATTTACTGTTTACTGTAAACTGAGAGAACATAAAAAATGAAGTAAACCCACTATTGCATTTTCAGTTAAAGTTTACGGTGCACAGCCATTGCACATTATTTTGTATTTAATGAGATTAGATACGTAATGTAATTTTCATACAGAGAATACAATTAATTGGGAATTAACTACCAGAGAAATTATGACAATAAAAGGTTATTTAGCTAAATTGTCATCTGTGTTTTTTCACATGCATATGCTCTGTAAAGAGTATGAAAATATTTGTGTATGACTGTATATTTTTAATATGAAATGTCCTGAAATGTTTCCCAACCTTTCCTTTTTGGCAAGTGATGGCCTTTTGCAATTTAAAATGATGAAATCTTTTTTTAATTAAACTAATTCCTTAATTTTGTATTTTGCTTCTTATTTTTTTCTAACATTTATACCATGCCTGAAATTAAACCTATAACCTATGCAGAACATTTTATAAAATGCTTTTCTTTTTCAACCTTATTTGAGATCATTACTTTTCAGATCTTTTTAGCTAAAGGTCTATACATTAACCTTATGGAAAAGGATCAATTTTAATGATGGGCAATAATGGTATTGACTGGAGGCACGGATACTGATGAATACCTGTGTTGTAAAATCAATGGGGTCTCTTTTTAATGTTCGGTCTTCAGCTTTCAGCTTTCACTGAGCCCTCCTGAGTGTGGAATTGTAGTCTTAAGGGACTTTTTCCACTTCAAAACCATGCAGGATTTCACAATTGTTTGAGGTCATGGTGAGGAGCACAACCTAGTGATATACAGTACACTATATTGCAATTGATGTCTAAAAGAATGCATAACAGTGCTATTAAACATAAATGCCAATACCAGCAATAATGCCAGACTCAGTCCTTTGTTCAGTGACTGTGTAAATTAATGTGGAAACATTCTATTATTTTTTTAGCATGTGTATAAAAATCCATTAACACAATCTGCAATTTATGACAATAAATAGTAAATCCTGTCTCTTGCAACTGCAAAGGTTGAAGATACACTTCCGTGAATGCATTGAAAGCAACTGGTTAACATGCTAAGTCATGTTTGTCCAAAAGGAAATGATCTTCTGGTTTAAAAAAAAAAACAAACATTTCTCTGTTTGATCTCAACACTTAATTAGATCACTTGAATGTGTTTCATGGTAACAAGAAAATCTATACTTACCAGTACAAGCATTGTACATCCCTGAGTCAGTGACAAAGTATGAAATTCTCAGATAGTATCTTTGTCCTTTTCATAAACAGACAAATCAGTATTTGGTATCCACTGTTTATCATCATTATGCTTGCCATTTAGGATCTTTGGCAAATGCTTTTTTTAAATCTACAGGGAGAATAATGTACTGCAGTCATAAATTGTGATTATGCCGATTCACTGACTTTATACACCCTTATCTTTATACCATTCTGCTGAAGTCCCAGCCTGTTGGGTGGCTGCCCCTCAGTGTGGAGGCACAACTGGATCATCTTACAGTGATTACAATGGTGGCACAACTACCTCTCCACCAGATGTTCTCTAGTTCAGCACCGGTGTTCTCCTCAGAAGGCAGGGATACTGATGTATTTTCCCTGGAGATTACTTATGGTATACCATCTTTGGAGTTTAGGCTTTTGATGTAGCAGCAACCCCCAAAATGAACTGAATCATATTAATGTAAAGGCTTTTCTTTCTCTATCCACCAGGCAAGTCCATAGAGGGTAAATGTCAAGAGTGATCCAGGATTACAAATCCTCAGGGAAATCTTAAAATGCCCCAGCTTTCAGCTTTCCATCAAATCTTTCTACATCTGAAAACTTTCTAATAAAACATAATGCACAATACCTAAATAGCTCTCCATCATTTGGATGAAATGACTGGATAGGATTACTATAAATGCCCTGGACTGCAAAATGTGACATTAATTCTGGGGTACTATGCTGCAGTGCAACACATTGCTTTTAGAAAATTATCTTGGCACTGCAGAGTTAAATATTATAGCACACTTTGAAGTGAATAATTCTTTTTTCCTATAATGCAGTTTTAGCCTGTATTTTCCATGTATTTAGGTCTTATCAAATGCATCTTTACTCTTAATTGCCAAATGGAAAAAGGATGTTACACTATATCTACCATTCATCAAGCCGTATCATGCAAGCCATAACATTGTAATTGGTGTTCTCATGCATATAAGAAATTACTATAGAACTAATTGAGTTGATTGAGAAATATATCCTAGTTCAGGTTTTAACCTGGTTTCAGGTTTCAGGTAAGCTTCAGGTTTTAACCTGAACTGGCTGAAGGTTCCCAACCCCAGTCACTACAATGCTATATTCATCTACTGTATCTTGATCTCATCAGATCATAGAAGCTAAGCAGGGCTAGGGCTAGATAGTACTGGGACAAGAAACCTCAAAAGCAGGGCAGTCCAATCTTGGACCTGCAGTATTGGAGTTTTTACAGAGCTTCATTACAAATCAGCATTGAATTACTGAATACAGGAGGTCCCACATATCTGAACACATCGAACAGCTGCAGCCGTACTGACAGAGGAACAGAGAGACACTACAGGAATGAGATGGGACAGACCTGCTCTAAGGAAAATTACGTTGCTGCGGTAAGGATCCACTTTTCCTTCTTGACCAGAATGTCTGAGCACCACTGGCCCAGTATGGTGAAAGGGAATAGTGCTGTGGGATGTGCTGCCCTTTGGATGAGATTTTAAATCAAGGTCCCCACTCTCTGGTCATTAAAGATCTGAGCAGGGGTGTCAACCCTGGTGAGCTGGATCCTTTCCATTCTGAGCTGTCTAGATGTCCTGCCTGAGGCTCCCCTTTAGATAAATTGATGAAGCACTTTCTCACTTTTCCACCTGATCTGCTGTATAGTGATGCTTACTGGT